GGGGGGGCGGGTGTCACTCATGTGTTCAGTTACATGGTGAGGAAGCAGCCATAGGGTAGGCAATGCCAGGAGAACCTTTCATGTCAATAAGTGGGCTACTCATCAGGGCCCCATGACAGGAAGGTGGAGGCAGTGCAATCTATCAGTGAAAAGCATAGGCTGTCAGAGCAGAAATCCTGGTTATGATCATACAACTCTGTGTGAAACTGAGTGGATGGCTGAGATGCTCTGGGCCTCAGTTCTCTCATTGTTAAGTAGTAGGTTAAAAAGAAAAAAATGAAAGCAAGCAAAGAAAAAGAAAAGCCACATCACAGAATCACTATGAGGCCCTAGTTAAGATAATGAGAAAAACGTGTCTAACACAGAGCCCGGTACACCCTGAAACTACAAGAAATGGTACTAATTATCCATCATTGGTACAGGCTAGCCTCTGTACTAGGTACCAAGAAGACAAAAATAAATAAGACATGGTCCTTGCATTTCTTTGAACTGTTCAGTTTAAAGTAGGTCAGGGACACACAAAGCAAAATCAATACGAGATTTTGGAAGTATGGAAGATGGTGCCATACAGAGCTATGTAATACCATGTGACAAGTGCCATCAGCAGGTGACTAAACATGCAGATTTGGAAGGGAGAGAATAGGCACTTCATTCTGGTGGGACCAGTAAAGACTTCAATGAGGAAAAAATAATTTTAAAAGGCCTTGAATAATGAATATGAAGTTCCAGGAGGACAAAAGGTATCAAAATTCTTTGCCAAAACAAAGCTGGGTAGGAGCATTCCATGGGCCGTTAAGAGATTCCATTTTATGAAGCATCCAGTTAAGCATTTTGTGCCCTGTCTTTATAATTGACATCTTTTGTAGATGAAGCAATGATCTGGATAAAGGATCTTGGAGTCAGGGCTTCCTGAAGGCCACTGCTGGAGATTCCAAACTCTTAAAGCATGGGCTTACCCGGAGCCAGAAAGAATTCTGAGCCAGCTGGGAGTAGTAGCTGATGGTGCAAGGGTACCAAGCGTGCTGGGAAATGCCTTCACTGAGATCTATCACCTTGGTTCGACACACCTGGAAAACAGGTAAATAAAACAATGTTTTAGAGGATCTTGGACGTTCAATTGAATTTGATTTGACAAACCTTTACTATCCACCTATGTATTTATTTTTCTTAATACCACAGGAGGAAGCAGGCATGAATAAACAAAAGTCTGTTTAAGAAGCTCACAGTCTAATGTGGAAGATGTAATTCTCACTGTTCAGGAAAGAATAGAGAACATATTTTGATGGTAGAGGTGACAGGAACATTCTCATAGAGGTAAATTCTGGAGAAGTGGAAGTTTGAGTTGAGTTAAAAATAAGGTAGAGGTAAGAGGAAGGGTGTTATAGACAGAGGGAATGATAACAAGTACTCAGAGGAATGCAGAGGCCTAAAAAACTCAGGTTGTAGTGATGCACCTAGTCTTACTAGACTTCAGGGAAAGAGGCAGAAAAGGGAAACAGAGGCATTGATTGCCAAGAAGATCATTTTAGAAAAAATCTGTAAACTATGCTCAGAGTCATATTAATGACAGAGAAAAGACTGATAGTATGAGCATATGTTTCCCTACCACCAAATAACATCAATCCCATCACTTCGTACTCTCTTGTTTTCTCAATGACGTATAATAAAGGAAATAGGGAGGGTTTATAGAAAAATAGAATTCTTCAAACTTAGGAGTTTCTTGTATATCCAATTGTCATTCATTTATTGGCTCATTTACTCATCTGAACAATATTTATTGAACAACTGCCATTTGCCAAACACTCTGGGACAAAATTATAGACAAGACAAATGCTAAGGTGCTTAGAGCAGAGTGTTCAGATATTACCCAAGTGATCACATATTCATATGAAACTGTAAACTGAGGAAAGCACTATGAGGAGGAAGATAGGAACAGCTGAGTCATTCTTGAGATAGGTCAGACCTTTGTCGGAAGATCATCCAAATTAGTCCTTTCCCTCTGATCTATAATGCGTCCTCTCTTAAAACTTCCCTGAGTTTGGATCTGTCATTTCTCATCTCCAGGTCTCAGTCCACTCTTCTGAAAAGTAAGAGACCTTTCCCTTCATATGTGCTTCCATATCTGCAGAGTCCTTCTGGATAGCTGAATACTTGGACGGTGGCCGTCCAGAGAGGGCATGGAAGTTCCATGTGCCTTCCCACATGCCTGGCCTTGTGTATCTCTTCATCTGTATCAGTATCCATTATCAGAAACTAGAAAAGTGTTTCCCTGAGTTTTGTGAGCCACTCTAGCAAATTAATCAAACCCAAAGAGAGGACTGTGGAACTCCACATTTATAGCCAGTTCGTCATACCATGGGGAAAACAGCCTGGGACTTGTGATTGGCTTTAGAAGTAAAAGGCATTCTTGTGGGATGGAGATTTCAACCTGTGGAACCTGATGCTGCCTTCAGGAAAACAGTGTCAGAGTTTATCTAAATTAAAAGACATTTAGCTAGTGTCTGCTGTAGACATGATTAGTTGCTTCAAGTGTGGAGATTACCCTCACACATATCAGATGTCAGAAGTGTTGTGTGATTGTTAAGTTAAACTACAGGAAAAATGGAGTTGTTGTTTTTTTCCTCTCTATATATCTTCAGATCTGGTAGGCACAAGTGTTTCAGTTTACATAAGTCAATGTAATTTTATGAATTAAAAGAAAAAGCCAAAATAATGGCTAATAAAGCCATTAAAAATAGGTGTAGGTACTGCTGTAGTGGAGGTAGATGGTAGGGTACCACTGTGGTGCTGGAGCCATCTGGGAAAACCCTGGGTTCAAACATACTGGGTGTACCTATTATCTTGGCTTGAGGAAAAGCTAGGAGGAGTGCAGCAAGGAAAGATCATGTCTGTCTGTCTGTCTCTCTTTCTCTCTCTCTAACAAACATAAAAAAAAAAATAGATGCAAAATCATCAGTGCTGATTCTCCTAACAATATGTTCCTATAATGGGCTCCAATTAACCTCCTCTGACAGACAATCCTTCCTGCTCTTGGCATCAGCAAGTGCTCCTGTTAACATGTTGATGATCCATCTATAACCTTGCTAAAACGCAAACCCCTCTTTCTCCATCACTTCTTAGGTGATTCTTGAAAGGAGAGCTCTCAGAAAATGCCAAGTCTTAGTTCTCTCCACCACAGCGGGATACCAATCAAAGTCAAGCTAAAACACACACAGGTGTATTGATCTACAATCACAAACATCAATGCTTTTATTTTTAATAAGTTTTATTTATTTATTATTATGATGATTTTTTAAAATTTTGCTATAGTGCATGTGTGCTTATGAAGGGAGAGAGGAGAGGAGAGAGAGAGAGAGAGAGAGAGAGAGAGAGAGAGAGAGAAAGCCGCCAGGTCTGGAACTCAAACCTCAATTGGTCATGTGGGAATCCAGAGCCTTAACCACTATACCACCTGCTGACCCCTTAATAAACTTTTTTTTTATCTTTATAGCAGAGTTACAAAGAGAATGCAGAGAGTTTCACATATGCCTTTTACCAGTTTTCCCTCATATTGATATTTTCACCAATTCATTCTTAAAACTTCAAATGAAGGAAGATCAGTGGCTTAACCAATTGTGGAGAATCACAACATGTCACTCAGGATGCTCTGTTCTGGTGAGCTGGCCTTGGACTAAGGAGATCTAGTTTTGGTCCCTGCTTATTCAAAATCTGGTGTGTAACTGTGAGCTGATTATTTCTCCTCTTGGGACCTCAGTTTATCTTGCACACAGGAATGTTGGGCAAGGTTATAGGTCTACAAGGTGTTTTCCACGGATTCCTAGGGTTCTGCAGAAATGTTGCCAGGGGTTCAAGAGGTAGAGATGAGCTGCTTAGTTTCTGCTGTACCATTTTTGTCTGCTTTGTTTTGTTTGGGGGTGGGGGGGGGGGTTTGTTTTGTTTTATTTGTTGTACGGCATGTGAACTTGCCAGAGAGAGACAGGAAGAGAGGGAGGGAAAGTGAGAAGTCACCCCCAAGGGGGGATGGCCATGCTGCAATGCCTTCTCATCCACTCTTCCTTTCAGATTTTGGGCAGGCATGCCCATGTGCCTGGCATGATTTTCAAGCTTCTGAGTCTGGGACTTGAACTGCACAGCTGGCCATGTGAGATTCAGTGCCTTAACCTCTACGCCACCTGTTTGCCCCTGCTCTACTGTTTTTACTGGAGCATTTTTACTCATCTGTTGTACACCAAGCTGCCTTATAATGTTTTATTTTATAAAAAAGCTTCACTGCTTTAAAACCATTAGAAAATACTGAAGTACAAATGCCAAAGTTTCAGCCTTAGCCCTAGAAATCAGTGTGTTGTGTAATTACAACATTAATTCCCTGAATATCATAGATTGCTTCTTAAAAAAGAATAAAGATAGTAAGAATCAACTACTCCATTGTCTAAGAATTAGGCAATGGTTTCAGCTATTTAAATCTCTAGCAGCCTAATACTGAAGAGACTAAGGGTAAACCATAGTCACTTTAATGGGCTGGAAGACGTTTTCAAGTTTATTTATTTTTCCCAAAAACAATTGGGACTGGGCTGAGGCAGATCTGCCAGTGGATTGTGTTACACTTTACAACAGTGCAAGACTTTGCATAAACTATCTATGGCATTTGAAATCCAGGCCAGCAATTCGACATGTATCATTCTGGAATTCTTTCCCCTTGTGTACTTAGCTGTCTGTCCCCCAGCAGAGTGTGGTAGAGCACATCTCTGAGTGCTGAGCTGGAGGCCTTATCTCTGCATCTGAAGCATTCATGGTCCAAGAAGTCTCCAACATGAACAAAGCCCTCTTATTGCTTAAATACGATTTCCTCTTATCTCCTCAGCTCTATCAGCACTAGACAGGGCCTTAGAGTAACATGCGTCTGTTATTTTATTCTTCTGTTTTTGTATTTACTTTTGTGTTTGTTCCAGGCTGGCTGCAGTCCTGACCTGGGACAGTCAAAGCAGATCAGTGAGTAACAAGCAAATCCAGCTGAACCCTCGCCTGAAGCCCCAGATGATCTTAAGTCATCTATATTCCTGGGGAAATGGAGGGAGGCTGGAGGTGGAAAGAAGAAATAAGCCCTCACATGCATCCTGCTTTTGTAGACATTGCATAGAATTGCTCATTCAGCAGACATTTAATAAGGGCACATGGGGCTCCAAAGTGCTGAGGAAAAAACCCACAGCCTTGCCTAAGCTACAAGGTTGGTCACTAAGGACACAGTGACTACAAGGTGACTGATTCTATGGGAATGCTGTTTCCATCCACTCACTTTTGCACCCTGTGAAAAAGCAAATCCAACTTCACAAAGCATGACTGAACAGTGTAAATTTTACTTAGCATTTTGTAGAGAATACACAGCAGAGATACATCATTTGACCCAGAGGACTCTTAAGCATTCCCTACTAGCACCCTGAGTTTTTCTTTACACATTTCCCTTTTGCCAGTTTCTCTAGCATCACTACCTCTATGACCTACCAATCTTCCCCTTCCCCATCTGCATATCTCTCACATCTCATTCAGAATCATTCTCTTCTTCCTCCTATTCTTCCCTCTTGGACCACAAACACTTCTACTAATGCAAAAGCTCAACCAAGCTAGCCAGCCCCAGAGATGATAGCAGTCTTTATTTCCCATCTCTGCTACGCTGGTATAAATAAGACCTGTTTCCTCTCTCCAGGTCACTCACTGTCTTGTGGATCACATCAAGGGTGCTTTAGAGAAACCAGCAGTTGCTAGGCTTCAGGTTCCCCTAGAGAGACAAAGAAGGGATTCCCTAGGCACGAAGCTTATTTTTCTGTATTGTCTACTCCCATGTTCATTGCAGTGTTACTCATAATAGCCAAGGTGTGGTAACAACCTACATGCCTGGTGAATAATGAATGGGACAAGAAAATGTCAAATAGACATACAATGGAATATTATTCAGTCTTTAGAGGGCAATTCCACAACAAGCAGTAACAGGGAGAAATCTTAAGGACATTATACTAATTAAAATAAGTCATTCACGGAAAGACAAATATTTCCTAATTTCTCTTACGTGAAG